GCTCTGTGCTGACAGCTAGCTCAGAGCCTGGAACCTGTTTTGGATTCTGTGTCTCCCTCTCTCTCTGACCTTCCCCTGCCCATGCTGCCTGCCTGCCTGCCTGCCTGCCTCTCTCTCTCTCTCTCAGAAATAAATAAAACATTAAAAATATTTGAAAAAAAAGAAGTGTCTTCCACTAGAATGTTCATTTGTTACAATTGATGAAGCACAGAGCCTGATGTAGGGCTTGAACCCACAGACCACAGATGGTGACCTAAGCTGAAGCTGAACGTTTAACCGACTGAGTCACCCAGGTGCCCCTCTGAGTCTGTGTTTTACATTAGGATTCACTGTCGGTGTACATTCTGTAGATTTGAACAAATGTATAACGACGTGTATTCACCATGAATAGTATTGTACAGAGTATTTTTACCACCCTGAAAATCCTCTGTATTATGCCAGTTCATCCCTGTCTCCCTAATCCCTGAAAAGTACTCATCTTTTTTATAGTCCCCATAGTTTGCCTCTTCTAGAATGTCATATAATTGAATCATACAGTATGTAGCCTTTCAGGGTGGCTTCTTTTACTTAGTTGCATTTAAATCGCTTTCATGTTTTTTCTTTGTATGGTAGCTCATTTCTTATTAATGCTGGATAATATTTCATTGTCTGGATATAAACAGTTTATCCATTCACCTGCCTAAAGACTTCTTGGCTGGTATAAACATTGTGTGTAGGTTTTTGTGTGGACATGAGCTTTTGGGTGAATATCAAGGAGTACAATTGAAGAATTATATTGTAAGAGTATGTTGAGCTTTGAGAAATTGCCAAAATGTATTCCAAAGTGGCTGCACTGTGTTGCATTCTCCCTGGCGAGTAACCAGAGTTCCTGTTGTTCTTCCTCCTGACCAGCATTTAGTGTTGTCAGTGTTCTAGATTTCAGCTGTTCTAATACATATGTAGTAATACCTACCTGCTTTAAGTTGCATTTCTGTGGTGACGTTGATACGATCTGGAACAGCTTTTCATATACTTCTTTGCTGTCTATAGATCTTGTTTGGTGAGGTGTCTATAAAGTTTCTTGATGTATTTTTTAAATGGGGTTGTTTGTCTTTTGTTGAGTTATATGAGTTCTTTATATATTTTGGATAGCAGTCCTTTATCAGATCTATCTTTTGCAAATACTTCCTCCCAGTATGAGTATGAGTCTGTGGCTCATTCTTTTGATGGTGACATTCATAGAGCAGAAATTTGTATCTTTAATAAAGTCCAGTTTGATTTTTTTTTTTCATGGATTGTGCCTTTAGGGTTGTATCTAGAAAATCATTGCCAGACCCAAGATCTCTAGGTTTTCTCCCATGTTCTCCCTTAGGAATTTTATGCTTTTGTTGTTTACATTTAGGTATGTGATCCGTTTTGAGTTAATTTTTCTGAAAAGTATACGGTCTGTATTTATTCATTGTATGTATTCATGTTTTTTGCATGTGGATATTTAGCTGTTCCAGCATCATTCCTTGCAAAGATTATCTTTGTTCTCTTGTATGATCTTACTTGACTTATAATAGGATTACATTCTGATAAACCCATCATAAGTTGAAAACTGAAAATACATTTAATACACCTACCGAATGTTATAGCTTAGCCTAGCCTACCTTAGATGTATTCAGAACACCTATATTAGCCTACAGTTGGGCAAAATCATCTAATACAAAGTCTATAATAAAAGTGTTGAAAATCTCAGTGTAACTTGTTGAATACTGTCCTGAAAGTGAAAACCAGACTGGTTCTGTGTATTGGTTGTTTCCTTGCAGTCGAGTGCCTGACTGGGAGCTGGGCCTCACTGCTGCTGCCCAGCATCACAAGAGATTGTACTACATATTGTTAGCCCAGGAAAAGACTAAAATTCAAAATTTGAAGTCTGTTTTTTAACAAATGTGTATTGCTTTCACACCTCTGCAAAATAAAAGTAGTAAGTTGAACCATTGTAAGTCAGGGACCATCTATATTATGGCCCTGTAGCTCTTGACTATATTAATGGACTTCGTTCTGTTATTCTCTGTTTTCACTAGGACCATGCTATCTTGATTAACTAAAGCTTCATAGTAAGTTGGGCAGTGTCAGTCCTCCAGCTTTGTTCTTCGTTATTATTTTGGCTATTCTGGGTCTTTTGTCTCTCCATATAGACTATAGAATCTGTCAGTGTATCCATAGAATAAGTTGCCGAGGTTTTAATTGGATTTAATTGTGTCGGTAGATCAAGTTGGGAAGAACAGACATTTTGAAACTATTTAGTGTTCATATCTGTGATTGTGGAGTGTCTCTGTTTCATTTTGGGAAGAATGATAATGTAAATGGTACTGTGTTTTCAATATTTTGTTGTTATTGTGATTGCTGTTTTTCACTGCTTTAGGATATGAAAGCTTCCTCTAGAATGCATTCATACTTCCTCCTGTTGGGGGCCCTAGGGATTAATGGAGTCTGGCATCCCCCCTCCTTTTTTTTAAATTAGCATCTATTTTAAAGAAAGGGAGGGTTTTTCTGACTCCATCGTATGGTTCTTGCCCCATTTGTTTCTTGACATTTTGCTTTGTATATACGGTTACTGATATGAAAGAAGGTAATACTTGATAAGTATTGTTTAAAAGATAATTTTTTATATTTTTTAATTTACATCCAAGTTAGATAGCATATAGTGCGACAATGATTTCAGAAGTAGATTCCTTAATGCTCCTTACCCATTTAGCCTATCCCCCTCCCAGAGCCCCTCCTGTTTGTTCTCTGTATTTGAGTCTCTTATGTTTTGACCCCTCCCTGTTTTTATATTATTTGTGTTTCCTTTCCCTTATGTTCATCTGTTTTGTATCTTAAAGTCCTCATATGATTGAAGTCATATGATATTTGCCTTTCTCTGACTAATTTCGCTTAGCACAATGCCCTCTAGTTCCAACCATGTAGTTGGAAATGGCAAGATTTCATTCTTTTTGATTGCCAAGTAATACTCCATTGTGTGTGTGTGTGTGTGTGTGTGTGTGTACACCATCTTTATCCATTCATCCATCAATGGACATTTGGGCTCTTTCCATACTTTGATTATTATTGATAGTGCTATAAATATTGGGGTGCATTGGGGTGCATGTGCCCCTTTGAAACAGCACACCTGCATCCTTTGGATAAATACCTAGTAGTGCAATTGCTGGGTTGTAGGGTAGTTCTATTTTTATTTTTTTAAGGAATCTCCATCCACTATTTTCCTTAGTGGCTGCACCCGTTTGCATT